ATTCGATGCAGGTGAATATGGTAGAGTAGTTTCATGGATTATTCTCAAAGACTGAGCAAACGAGTTGAATCCAAAAGATTCATACTCCCGGCCTCTATCACTTCTATATCTTTTAATCTTTTTACCAAATTGATTTTCAACTTCAAGAAGGAATTCTTTAAATTTTTCAAAAGCATCACTTTTATTTTTCAACAAGTATACATAAGTGTATTTTGAAAAATCATCAATAAAAGTGATAAAATATCTATTTCCACCACGTGTTAAAATTCCTTCAAATTCACATAAATCAGTGTGAATTAATTCTAACAATTCAGTATTTCTCACCACACTTTTATGAGGCCTTTTAGTTATTTTTGCTTAACTGCAAACTTCACATTTCTCAAACTTATTTGTTAGTTTGGGAATTAATCCTAAACTACTCATGACTCCCACATATCGACTATTAATATGACATAGACGAGCATGCCAAAAATTCATAGAAGACAGCATGTAAACAGAAACATGTGCTTTCTTATTCTCAACATTTAATTTAAACATTCCATCACATGCATACCCTTTCCCCACAAATATGCCTTTCTTAGTGATTACATATTGGTCAGATTCAATAGTCTGCTTGAAACTAGCTTTGTTAGGCAAATAACTCGACATCAAATTTTTTCTCATGGATGGTGTGTACAACACATCTTTTAAAACAAGCACACGTCCAGAGGTAAAATTCAGCTCAACATCCCCATACCCGAGCACCTTAGTTAAACTGGAGTCACCAAGCATAACAGTCCTCTCCTCATTAAAAGGAGTGAAATTTTTGAACCAATCTTTATCATAGCAGACATGCCTATTGGCACCAGAGTCTGCCCACCACCCTTCCACGGATTGAACCATAAAAATATCTGTGATCATAGCCACAAATGGTTCCTCGGTAACATTAGCCTGTGGTCGAGACTGTTGTTTTCGAAATTTGCAAGTTCGAGCAATATGCCCACTTTTGCCACACATAAAACATGTCACATTTGTCAGATCTTGTGAAGGGAGTTCTTGGTTCCGTTTCTTTTGCCTCGGGTAATTTTTATTTTGTGGCCTTCCAATATTTTTCCAAATTTTCTTAACTGGCTTCAAATGACTATTTTTATGACATCGACCTTTAGGTAAAGTATTTCCAGAAGTTAAATTTACCTTTGCAATGGAATGCCCTTGTGTCATAAGCGCATCTTGTCCTCGTGCTTCTTCCTCCACCCGAATCCGTGTGATTAGAGTCTCCAAGGACGTCTCTTTTTGCTTGTGACGCATTGACTTCTAGAACTCCCTCCAAGATGATGGAAGTTTGTCAACAATACCTGCTACAACAAGATTGTCTCCAATTTTGATGCTTTCAGATCTAACTTTAGCTACTAACATCTGGAAATCTTGAACTTGCTCCACCACTGATTTTCCGTCTGCCATCTTATAGCGGAAAAAATGGCTTGCAGCATATTTTTTAGCGCCTGCCTCTTTAGTGTCATATTTGTTCTGTAAGGTTTTCCAAATTTTCTTGGCAGTGGTGTAAGTAGTATCATAATAATCATAAAATTGATCTGAAAGACAATTCAAAAGATAGTATCTACATTTATACTCATCTGTGTTGTATTTTTCGAGTTTTTCAAGATGAGCAGCATACTCCTCGTCAGTCATCTCTTCAGTGGAGACTTTGTTCGGATTTTTCTCGGTCAGGATATATGCCACCTTGAGGAGACTGAGGTAGAAAAGCACCTTGCCTTTCCATCTCTTGAAATGAGCTCCCTTGAACCGGAAGGACTTGTTGAGATCGTCGGTGTTCTCGTTGGGCTTCTCCAGTACTGGCTCCATGAACTTTTGCTATTTGAATCTCCTTAAAATTGTTGGTGATAATTACAAATAAAACACTAGAAAATACAAATAATAGAAATTACAATAATTATTGAAAGGGTTGAGGCGCGGGAAATTCGCTCTCTTTAAGGAGATTCAAGCCCTCTGCGGTTAGGCGAAATCTCACACCGGTGCAGCAGAAAAAACCTTGACTTGTCCCCCCCAAGATATAACAGCCCGACTAAGTCGTATGGTTCACCAATACTGCACAATTGGTTGAACCCAAAGTTTTATCACACACACCCTTTTTATTTGCCTGATAATCTCACTCAAGACATAACAACACAACCAAAACTTCTTCTCTCGTATATGTCAAGATAGGAGATAAGCTCAATATATATAGAAAGGAAAGTTAATAGGCAAGGTTCTTGGTGGATAAGATAACAAGAGACTTGACCAAGACCTTGGAAGCTTATCTAGGAAGACTTGGAATGGATAAGTCTTGGCAAACCTTATCTTGGAAGATTTGGATGGATAAGAATGGGGAGACTAGGAAGACTTGAAAGGACAAGACATGAAGGAAACCAATAACACATTATAATATTAAAATATCTGCTAACATGAGTTATACTATTTGTAATATTTAACTCACAAATGACATAACTTATATATGGTGCACACCCTCCTTTTGAGAGTGTGTATCATAACATTACTCAAAAACATTATACATTTTTACAAAAGTACGTATAATAAAAAAAATTAATATTTTTAAATCATTTAACACGTAACTGAAGGGTATGGATAGCCATTTTCATCCGATCCGCGGAGGTCTGCCCATACCCATTTGAACGAGGTGGATTTTACCTGACCGGACACTTATATGGGGTAGGTTTTACCCGATCCAACACTTATGTGGGGCGGGTATTATCTCCCTCAATCCAAACCCGACGCGATATAATTAAAAATATATATAAATAAATAATATATATGTATATCTATACAATGTAATTAGATATAAGAAATGTATATTAAAAGTCTATGGTTCTATTTAAATATAAATATATAATAATTCTAAAAGTCACACTGTTTATATATATGAAAATAAAAGAAATTATTTGGTGTGCTAAGGATTTAAATGATTCTCAATTTTTTTGGCTATTTGAAATATGGTCGAGTATCTATAGATATTGTGTATCCGTAGATATGTGCAAGGGTGAGGATGGAGTTGAAAAATTTCACTCGTAGTAGGGTTGGGGCTGGAGTGGGATTTATCCATGAGGGCGGGGGACAGGGGATGACAAAATTGTTCCAAACTCGTCCCGTGACCATTCCTACCTAAGGACACTACAAGAAAAAATACTTTTGGCGACTAAATTTTTAGTTGCTAAAAGTCCTTTTTTAGTCGCCAAATGTCAAATTTTCACTTTCCCCGACAAAAACTTTTAGTCGCCGGTTTTGTCGCGAATACATGGTCGCAAATACCTTTGGTGACTAAAAAACTGTTAGTCGGCAATATACAGGTCTTCAGCGATGAAAGAATTTGTCGTTAAATGCAATTCCATTTTTGGAAATTATACATTTCGCGACTAAACTTTTAGTCGCCAATACTGATTTTTTTTTTTATTATTTAAACATTTGCCAACCAAATTTTCGTTGCCAAAAAGTATACTTTCGGCGACCACAGACTTTAGTCGCCAAAACCATTTTTCAGAAAAAAAAAAAATTGCCTCTGCTAGTCCCGAGTTTCGAACCTGTAACGTCCCAACATTGTCAACCTTTACCAACACTTTCTCCCCACTACGCCACTACAACATCACATGAATATGAATGCAACATTTATTATTTATATAGTATATTGACTGGTATTAATACAAAATTATATATATAAAAATCATTATTTTTATTTAATATATTTTATGTAAAAAATAAATTATTTACTAAAAAAAATAGGATAGCACTTTTGGCGACTAAATCTGAATTTTAGTCGCCAATTCTCCATTTTTTGGCTACTAATTTGTTTTCTGTCGCTAAAAGAATTAAATCCCGCCTAAGGATAGCACTTTTGGCGACTAAACTGAATTTTAGTCGCCAAAACCTCTACTTTGGGCGACTAAACTGCATTTAGTCGGCAATTCTTGACCTTTAGCTACTAATTTTTTTTTTGTAGCCAAAAAGCTTCACTTTCAGCGACTAAACTGTTTTTAGTCGGCAAAACACCTATAATCGGCGACCAAACTGCCGTTTAGTCGCCAAAACCATCACTTTTGGCTACTAAATCATTTTTAGTCGCCAAAAACCGTGACTTTTGGCTACTAAACAACCTTTAGTCGCTAAAACCCCTACATTCGGCGACTAAACTGCCTTTTAGTCGCTAATACCCTTATATTTGGCAACTAAACTCTTTTAGTCGGCAAAAGTGATCAATTTTGGCAACTAATTCCATTTTAGTCACCAATTCTACTACTTTCAGCGACGAAAAATACAATTTTGGTCGCCAAAAGTGCTTTTTGTTGTAGTGATGGGGTGGTGACCAAGCGTGGTGAGGAGGGAGGAGGCAGTGAAAATTTACTTTAAAAACAAATAAACTTTTTTGATGTATTTGAAATTAATTTTATTTTTTAAAAAACAAAACGTTATATTAAACAAGTATTCACTTTCAGTTTATAAAAAATAAAATATGAAGCATTACCAAACGAGGCCAATTGCAATAACCAGTATATCTGGATCAGTTAAAAAAACCCACCACAAGACATAACACAAAGAAAGAGCCAACAATATAAAAGAGAATGTTTGCACTTATCCAAGAGATACCAAGAATATCGACCCAATAGTTTCAAATATTCTTCTTATTTGCACTGATGCAGCTTATGTGTGTGTGTTTTTTTTTTGCTTAATGAGTGGATGTCCAAACCAGTTTATAGGCATTTTAATTAATCTTAAAACTTATGTAAAGCGCTCTCTCCTTATAGATTGGACAAATTTCGAGCAAAACTTACAGACATAACCTCAAAGATTTGCAGCTTATATGTTAATAGATTCAAATTCTACACATTGTTTTATTCCATTTAGTTTGTTGATAAATTATCAAGACTAGGTGAAACAATAAATCAAGAACATTGAAATTTTCTTTTATTATCATTTATTTTTTTGTTGTAAGGATTTTACATTATAGCCCATGTTATCTATCTACCCAACAAGACCCTCACAACTTTCTAAAGGAGGTGAGATTCATATAATCCTTCCAAGGCTTAGTCCAAACAGTTGCCTCATAATGCCCTATAACGGCGCCATCTATTGCCGCGATGACTAGATCGAAAATAAAGCCCGCAACGTCCATGGTCTGGCCCGAAATCACCTTTATGAATTTCAAGTTGACCTTGGCCTCCTTGTTGTGCTCATTGATCGCAAATTGTGCTACCGGTAACACATTCGGGCCATTCGGGTCCAAGATCGGGGCCCAAATTCCAACCAACACTGATTTCCCACCGTCATACATGGCATAGACATCGGTAGTCAGGACAAATGTAACAACAACTAAGAGGGTGGAGAACATGAGGAGGGTGAATTGGGATTTAAGAGCCATGGTTGGATTGAATTATTTTCTTGATGTGTTGGAAGGTTTGGAAATGGTGAATGGGTTTGGGTTGGATTTTATAGATAGTGATGTGTTTTGGATTGAATTATTTTCTTGAAGGGTTGGAAGGTTTGGAAATGGTAAATGGGTTTGGGTTGGATTGTATAGATAGTGATGTGTAATGGAACAAATTAATGGTGGTGTTATGTGTATCAATTAGTATATTAACTAGTGTACTAACACTAATTATGATATTATTATTGACTTCACTCATTATACAAATTATAAATATTAAAAACCTCTTAAATTATGCTACATCATCAATTAGTACACTAATTAATGCATATAACATTATTCAAAAACTAATTATACAAGAATGGGGATCAAAATTTGGAAAGATTTAAGTAATTATTCAAAAAGTAAAAATAACTTTATAAAATTACCAAATTCGCATTTTCTTTCACTTTCACTCCTACACCTCTCTTTCATATTCCCCTGTGATTTCCTAAAGAATAATATTAGGAATCATGAAAAAAATATTATGAAATTTTTTTTTCCTTTGATTAGTGTGTAGTGTTTTATTGTATGTATAATCCAAAGGTGGAGAATCTTTCCTGATCATTTTTATGATATTTTTTTCATAATCCCTAGTATTACTCATTCCTAAATCTCTAATGTTCCATTTGCTGAGTAAAATGCTTTTCATAGTATAATAATAATAATAATAAATTTATTTGAATGAAAATATTTTTCACTTATGAAAGGTAAAAAATGTCCACCATCGCCACCACTAGCAATGTAATTGCTGTTATTGCTACGGTTACGTCACCACCTCCACTTCTACTATCACCACCAGCACACCACTACCGCTAATCCCACCATCCCACCATTACTGCCGGTGCCATTCCTATCGTCCCATCACCGTTTATTTGAGTAGAAAATATTATATATATATATATATATATATATTTAACTTTGGTACAATAGAAAACAAGACCTAACATTAACTCTTTCTATCAACTTTGAAATTTATTTGGACAAAAAAGTTTTATACTTTTGAAAAGTGAAAAACATTCTCTATTGCAATTATCGTCATTACCCAACACCACCACCACTACCACCACAACATCACTACCATTGTCGCCTTCATTATCACCACCTCGACACTTTCACTACTGCACCGCTACCACTAGCACCACAACCTCTACTAACTCCACCACCAATCCCCTACCACTAATTATGGCCACTAATATATTAAATAAAAAAAATCTAAAAATATTTTTAATCAAAACAAATAGAGTATTACATATCATAATTCGAAGAAAGAGTGCAACAATCATCTCCCACTTGGATAGATTTCTTATCACCAGACATATTGGGCTATTTGGTGTAGTTTGTTTTATAATTTTTTTTTTAAAGTTTATTTAAGCAAACTTAACCTCACAAATTGTAATTTAAAACCATACTAAACATACTGACAAAAATTTTCCAAATTAAAAACAACTAAAAACAATTCTAATAAACTGATACACCTTCTGGGATGGTATATGCATGAAAAATGCTAGCAACTCATCCTTACAGATTCCGAATTTATTCCGAATGTGTTTGTATGGTGCAGATTAAATTAATAAAATGTGGAGTCCCCATATGAAATAAATCTGAGTCATTGATTTCTTTTTCTGGGTAAACTCTAAGTTGATAAAGATGAATTTTTAGTATTGTCGTATATCTATATCTATATATATATAAGATAAAGACTCAAGTTGGTATCTTAGAACTTTTACTTAACAAATATTTTTGTCATTAATTTTAATTTTAACTAATTTAGTTTTAATGTTAAAAAAAATATTAAATTTTCACCTAGGGCTCGTTTGAGAATTGAATATTTTAGAGATTTTTTAACTTTTTATGAAAAAAATGTAAAAAAATAGAGAGAATAATATGATAATTTGTAGTTTTTTAAAACTTTTTTATTAAAATTTTTAATTGCCAAACAAGACCTTACAAAACAGTTACAACTACTCATTATTTTCATTTTTGTATAATTTTTCAACAATTGAAAAGTGAAACACTGGAGTACACTTTTGAATGTCATTTGTGGGTACACAGTGAAGTTTTCAGCAGAAATTGTAAATAAGTGTAAAGATTAAAAAAAAATACAAATCAATAGTAAAACTTATCAATTTTAATAATTAAAGTGATAATTTTTTTCATAATTTTGCAATTTTTTTGAAATCTTATCACTAATTTGCAGATTTTCCCTACAAGTTATCTAACTTCAAGAATCAATACATATGTACTTAACAAAATTGTGTACTAAAACTCTATAATACTTTTGATGTTTTTATTAAAAGAAAATTAAGGTGAATATTAATTTTTTTAAAATAAAATGAAAACAAAATTATATAATTTGAAGTATTCTTCATTAATACTATTATAAAAGGTAAATTACACTAATTTAAAAAAAAATACAATGAATAATTACACTCATCTCCTTTCCAAGAATAAATATATTGACAGTGTTAAATTTGGTAATTAGATTAATGTTTTACCTTTATATTTTTTATATTACTTTCTTTCATGATGTTTTTATATATATTTTATATTTTATATTTTTTAATTTTTACCTTTTTAAATATGAAACTTGAGATTTTACACAATCAGAATTTATGTATTGATATATTAACAGTGTTAAATTTGGTAATTAGATTAATTTTTTACCTTTATATTTCTTATATTATTTTCTTTCATGATGTTTTTTTTAATATATTTTATATTTTTTAATTTTTTGCCTTTTTAAATACAGCAATGCTAGGTGTCATGAAACACCTTTCATGAAAATAATTATAAAAGTTTTGTGACTTTTGGATTACACTTAGAATAAAGCACCACACACTAATCAAGGTAATCCAATGATCATAAATCTTTCATGATTATTTTCATGAAAATTTTTTTATGATCCCTAACTTTTCTCTTTTAAATATGAAACTTGAGATTTTACCTAATCAGAATTTTTGTACTTTAGAGTGTGTGAACAAATTTATTCTCGTATTCTTGTGTCAATGTAATTCTGGCGCTGAGTTTGATTATGAATCCTTTACAAATATGATATAATTTTAAATTTTGTGAATCAATTTACTCTGAAATAAGTCATGTTTCTTTAGGAATAGGGTTGCAAACGAGTCGAACCGAGTTTTAGCATGTTTGTATTTGTTTATTTAAATTTTAATAAGTTCGAACTCGAGTTCAAACTCAATAAAAATTTAACAATCCTCGAACCTGTTCATGAACCTTAACGATCTAAAAAAAATTATAAATTCATATTTACATATGAAATTAAAGTTACAATTGAAACTTTAGTTATATAATTATATACACAATATATATATATATATAAATATATTTAAAAAAAAGTTAATATTTTACCAAAATAATAATATCTACCACCACTTTATATAAATGTATTATTTATAGTTAGCTATTATTTATATATATATATATATATATATTTAAATATATGAATAACATATTTATCTTATTTTTTGTATATATTTTTACATTACTTAATATATAAATAATAAATATGAAATGACCCATCTAACGAGCAGAATTTTAGTATGTTTAGACTTATTTATTAAAATTTTAACGAACTCAAACTCAAATGTAAAAATAAATAAATAAAAAACAAACTAAATTCCAACGAGCTCTTGCCAAGTTGAACTCGAATCTGTTACGAACAGTTCTACTAATTTACAACCCTATTTAAAAATGTGAGATTCTCATGAGTATAAGGAAATAGGATTCATGCTAGTATGATAATCTTGTTTCTCCTTTTTAATTGTACTCAAATAATCGAATAAAAGAGATTTTCATTACGTCTCTATATTCCTCTTATTTAAACACCTTATCATTATGGCTTGGTATGCATTCATTTAAGTCACGCGTGCTCAATTATAAATTTAAGTAGAATTTTTTTTTAAAAAAAAATAGAGATTTAAAAAAAAATTGAGTAAAATATGAAATAAATATAATTTTATAGTTTATATTTTTTTATTTTAAACTTTTATCTAAATTCATAATTCAAATAACAAGTGGAGGGTCATCTCATCCTATGGGAATGGGATATTCCTCAAGGATTACAAATATTATGTATTAATTGTCAACCCCTGCTACAGACCCCCGGTGACTTCTGACCCCCAATGACCCCCAGTGACATGGCAGATGAGGTGGCAGCTGATGTGTAAACACAGTTGGAAAAAAAAAAAGAAAAACAAAATCTAGAAAAAGCGGGAACCAAACCTATCTCCACGATCTTCCCGCGTCTATCCTCACCTCTCGCCGCCATCCTCCTCCTTCACCGTAGCTCTCCGCCGTCGATGATGGCCATAACTCGCCGGGAACTCTGGTTGTCCCTATTTGTCCCTTTTACAAACCTGTATCTCTGTTCGTCGCTCTCATCTATCCTCAATCTTCATCGCTCTCATCAATCTGGTTGTCCTCTGCCTGTCTCCATCGTCTGTCCTCAGCTCCTCTGTCGCTCTCTATCTTTTGTTGTGTCTCTGTCTCGCATGTAATCTGGATCGGTGGTTTATAAGTTGAAAAATCAATTTCATATGACTAATCCAGCTTGAGTTCTCTTTCAGTTATATGCTAATTCTGAAATCTGAATAGTGAAATGAGTAAATGAGTTCTCTTTCAGTTATATGCTAATTCTGAAATCTGAAATCTGAAATTTGTCATTTTGGAATCAATTATATGCTAATTCAGTTATATGAAATCAGTTCTCTTTCCTAATCTGAAATTTGGAATCAGTTATATGCTAATTCATTTTGGAATCAGTTATCTGAAATCTGAAATCAGTTATATGCTAGTTCTCTTCCCTAATCTGAAATTTGTCATGTTGGACCTATGAAATCTGAAATATATATGAGTAATCTGAAATATGAGTAATTGTTTTATAATATGAAATATGAAATTTGGGCAGTGTTATATAATCTGAAATATGAGTTATATAATCTGTAATCTGAAATTTGGTTCACAGTGATCATTCTGAATG